CCTGTAATACTTGAATTGATGAAGGCCAACCACTAGGAACTAAAAAATAAGGATTAAGTAATTATCAAAAAAATATTGTTACTTCTTGCTTCAGTTTGTACAGTGCTCCTGCTTAATTCAGATCCTCCTAGTACATTACCAGCTCTCACTGTGATGGTATAGTTCATACCACTGTACAGACCTATTAATGTATAACTGTATGTTGTAGTGGACTGATGAGGATCAACAGAGACTGTATCATTCACTGATGATAACTGGGGACAAGATGGAGTATAGGAGATGGTGTAGTATGTTACATAGTTGTCACTACTGGGAATAGTCCAGTTCACTGCAATACCAGTGGTTGAGACATTAGATACTGAGAGACTAGTTACTGGACTAGGAACTACAACAGATATCAATTACACTCTCTCAATCATAATAACTCACCATCAAATCTTAACACTGTTACTGTACTATTAACTGAAGGAAGGTCTATATATGAGTACACACTGATGGTATAGGTACTCATTGGTGAGAGATCTGTTAGTACAATTTCATCTTCACTGGTAGATACTACATTCCTGGTTACACCTCCAGTAGTATACTCAATCACATATCCATTAGTCTCTGATGAACTGGTCCAGTTTACTTTGATACTAGTAGCATTTAATATAAACCCTCTCACATTATTTGGAGGACCACTAGGAGCTAGAAAAGAAACAAAAGTATCTATTATTGATTAAATTATAATCATACCATGTAATATCACAGATTGACTGTAGTTGACTCCTCCAATCATTGCTATACAGGTAACATTAACTGACACTCCCAGTGGATCAGGATATACCAGTAGTGTGTTGTTGTATGTCAAGACATCAATTGATGAATAGTTTGAGCTACTCTTTATCACTCCATTCACTAACCAGTAAACATCAGTTGAAGGATTTATATCAGTAGTTGTGAGACAATCAATACGATATTGAGTGTTATTGAGTTGTGTAATGGATGAGACTAGTGTCCAATTGATTGAATTAATAACTAAAAATACATCAACAATGTTACAAGTACAATAAAAGGTGCAGTAGCAATACCTGGTAAGGTCTGTACACTGATTGTACTAGCAGGTCCCAGTAATTGTTGATAGGCTCTGACTGTGATGCTATAAGTTGTTCCTCCTGTCAGTCCATTCAGTGTGATTGTATTATTACTATTTCCCTCCACCTGTACTGTCTGCACAGTGTCTGTGTCACTAGTGACATTGACTACATATCCATCAGCATCAGATGAATCAAGTGCAGTCCAACTGACAGTGATAGTGGTAGTTGTCTTGTTGACCTCAGTAAGAGAAGAGGGAGCAGTTGCTGGTACTAATAAAAAAGATATAGTATTTTAAAAGTCAAACATATTATGTTACCTTTTATAGTTACATTACGTGTTCTAGTAGGTTGATCAGTAACTTCCACTACACACTGATACATTTGATTTCCAGTGGTTGATTGACTGATTGATCCACTACTGACATTCATTCCATCCCATGTGATATTAACAGTATATCTTACTGTGTTGGTACTACTAACTAACACAGTGCCAGAACAACTATTACTACCATCATAACAATTAGTGTAACTAGCCAGAGCAGTACTACCAATGCTCATACTAATGTCATAGCGATTGAATCCAATTTTAGTACAATTCAGTTTGTATTCCTGAGGATATATTGTCATATCAGAAGGAAGATCAGCAACAGTAAGTAATTCTATCTCTGCAAATCCTACAAATGAAAATTATCACATCAGTAAGTGATTATAGTCTCCTCTTACTGAATATAGTAGCAAAGATGATGTTAGTGTTAGGATCTGAACAATCAGACGGTAGACAACACTTGTACCAGCCTTCTTGAGCTGCTGGTAGTCCCTGAGCAAGATAAAGATTGAGAGTAGCATCAGGTGAAGTGACAAAATTACACCAAAAAGGATCACTGGTACTATTACTGTTACAGTCAACAGGATCATCAGGATCAGCAACTCTAACCCACTGACCAGTAGTTAGATTAGTACCAGGTAACACACATGATATAGCTTCAGTAACTGCATTGACACTACTATCCCAAAAATATGATCCATTAGGATAACAGTTTCCATTATATTCTAAATAGATACCTATAAAA